GATTATGAGCGACTTTGAGATTAAAAAACGTTCACCTGATTTTGTGTCTGGCGATGAAATGACGAGAATTCGACTTCCATATAGTTTTCCAACCGATGATAAATATGTAGGAAGAAATCCTACCAAGAATAACATCATGATTTCGAAGGGGTGCCTCTGTCTTGGGCCTGATATTATGAAATCCTTGTTCTTCCCTCCTTTGAAAAAAATTAATGATTATTTGAATAGATTATTGAAAGAGCGATCCTTACAAGACGTCAAAAGCATATTTCTTGTAGGCGGTTTCTCGGAGAATGCTTTATTACAAAACCAAATCAAACGAAATTTCGGCTCCCGTTACCGTATTTTGACGCCAATAGATGCAGGTTTAAGTGTTATGAAAGGGGCAGTATTATTTGGCCTCAACCGAGATTCTATAAAAACACGGATCAGTCCTTATACTTATGGTAGTGATTTGAGTCCAATATTTAACCCAAAGAAACATGAAGAGAAATACAAGTTCACACTATGCGGCGTGGAAAGAATAAACGTATTTAATACGTTAGTGACCATAAATGAAAACGTTAAAATAGGGGAGGTAAGAACATTTATCGCATATCCTACACATGATGATCAGACATCCGTTCATTTCGGATTTTATACAACAACACAAAAACAAGTAAAATATGTGGATGAACCCCATGTAAAAAAAGTCGGTTGTGTCACCCTACCAATTCCAGATATAACAAAGGGAAGGAATAGAAAACTTGAATTGAAAGTTGAATTTGGTAGAACTGAAATTAAAGCAACAACTCGTGATGTTAAAAGTGGTAATGTCAGGACCATTTATTTAGATTTCATGAACGATTGATGTTTTTATAAAACGACTATTATGTTGACCAGCTTGAACATATACATATGCTTAACACCAAGATTCGCCTACTTGTGTGAATCGGTGGGAGCAACGTAAGAAGATCGTAGTAGTACAATGTGACCAGTCTACAACAAAACCTGCAGAATAAAGCGTTTTCATTTGATCATGGGTGCTTTTTGTATGAAAAGCAACAACTCCGAACATTTGGCGTGCAATATAAATCATCGCAATACCGTCTTCCCCAAACCAACAGCAATATTTTGTGCACATATAAGTTCAACCTGAAGTACATATTGCCTTAAACGCAATAAACATGGTGCAGACCTCAACTCTATAAACATCACACTACTTAATTATAGCAAAGATTGAACGGACCTATTGTGTTAAGCTTCTTATTATGTAGAAAAATTAGTTTTGTGACCAAATTCATTTAAGATTCAGACCTTTAAATGTATACGTTGATCCACACTTATTCACAATATATAAGCAGCATGTATTTAATCAAGGCAATCGTGTTCAATATTAGTGTTGTATATTTTGGCAAACCCGTTTATGACGGGATATTATATAATGACATTATATTGGTTTTAAAATGTTTTTCCTTTTATACAATCAATTCAGTTGGGCATCGAATGATCAACTTCACATAAATACTAAAAACAGTCGAACAATTTTCCTTTGAAAATCGATCTGTCGATAATGACAGCATATGGTGAATATCTGGCCGAGTTAATTTGTATCGGAAATACGTCTCGTGATGTTAGCTCCGTTTGTTTGTGCTGCATTGGGTTGGCTTGCTGACAGCTCTCTGGTCGTTATGCATTTTCTAACAATGGGATGTGGATTTCAAAACACCAGCTTTCGTCGAAATAACACTGATTAAAAATCCACGGAGATAAGTTCCTAAAGCTTTCACAGACAGTATTTGAAATACGACTTGTCTGTGAATTGTTTCACATTTGTGTAAAACCATTTGTTTACTAATTGGGAATGTCATTCGATGTCATACTAGATTGATTTTAACCACCAAATATTATTTATAAACATAATATTAACTCAAAACTCGTATACTTTAACTTTATGTAGAATGCAGCGCAATAGTGCAATAATCAATTT